TTACAGTAACCCACTTGTAACCTACTGTACAGCAGAGCGACATCCACTTTCCCGCTTTTTTTTTAATAACGTGTTTCAAGATTAATGAATACAACATTTTAAAGAATGTTTACAAAGACAATAATAGTGAATTTGGTAATTGGCTGAAAATTTTTTTCGTACTCCAATTTCTGCAGCATACAGACAGTAGAAGATGGTTTTATACAACTAATGGCGTTATGTCTAAATGAATTCTATGGTCATAGATTTGCTGATTATATTTTTAAAAACATATGTTAAACCAGATTRTTTATTTCCTCCAGTTTTATGGGCAAAAGAATCATCTCCAACATCTTAGGTAAATTTGTACAACAAATATTGAACATTTCAGAAAATATATTATTTATAATTTTCATTTTTAGGACTAATAATGCCGATGAAATCTTTCATAGAACTTTTAACAGACAGTTTTATTGCATACGTCCACCTATATACGTCTTTAAAACTCAATACCATTAAGCAGGGTACTATTCAAAAGGCATCAAAAGCAKAAGAAGAAAAAAACAATACTGCAGTCATATACTATACGAGTATTATAGTAACTACTGTCAAAATAAATTTTCTGAAGGATTAATAAAATATTAAACGCATATGGGAAACTTACATAGGGGAATTAAATTGTAAATTATTTTTAAACTTTTGTATTATAGGTAGGTATATATGTATATTGATATGACATTTTTAAAAATTATAATTTTTAATTATTTTATTCAATGTTTTATTTAATTTTTATTTTGACTTGAATATAGTTCGGCAACGTTGCACTTAATTTCRTTCTCAATAGTACTGATTTTTTGGGTCAGCAGTTATTTCATTGCTCTACTTCGAATGATCTTAATCGTATGCTAAAAAAGGTCGAACGTTCTYAATCGTATTACAGCCATTTTTAAAACCTATCTAGGATTGATTAAGTAAATGATATAGAACCGACCTGATACATCATAAACTGTAAGAAATTATCATATTATGATTCAAAATATCTCAATTAAAAAAAAATGCTAGATAAGCCAGATAAGGGACTTTTACACCAAAATGATAACTTTATTTCCAATTTGATTGCAATTTTTACAACACTAATTGAAACATTTAGGTATATTTAAAGCTTTATTGTTAATCATACATATATTATAATTTTTAATAATTAAGTGGGGTACTACAAATTCCCGAGTTGGCGCGGATACATAGCGCGGTTAAAGCACAAMACCGGTAGGTTGCGGGATACCATTGATACCGATATAGATACCCGAAATGCACAACGTTGCGTTAAAAAAGTATTTTAATATAGGTGTATCTACGTTTGTGTTTGGAATAAGTCTCGCAAATATGGGATCATATCATGGAACCACGAGGAACGTACTCATGATAATAAATTTTGTATCGATTTTGGTGTTGTTGATAACGTTGATCATGCTGAGTAGACATCCGACAGCCGAGGAAGATCTATCGTTCAAGGTATGAGCAGTGTGATTGATAAAAAAAATAAAAAATACAAATAATTGTATAGGGTGTTTCATTAAGAACGCAGGATTTGATTTGGCTGTCATTTTTTGTTTTGTATGTTTATTGAATTGTTTCTCTTATAACTGTTATCTTTAAACTCTCCGGTTCTGTTTATAACCATGACACAAAATAATAATATTATGTGACCATGGTGCGACCCAGAGATGTATCAGCAAGTGATAGCAAGTTTTGTGATCCGAACAGAAGCTTGCCAGCGAAGCCTATAGGTGGACATATTATGCCAGATGTGATATTCTACACTTCAATCAGAGAATAATGTATACTATACAGTTTAATAAAAAATTGTTGTTCAAAATAATTTTTTTATATAGTTATAACAATATTAAATACGGCGTTATTTATGAAACACCCTATATTTACGTGGGTTTTCAAATTTTGTTATAAAAATATTATTTTATGGCATTGATTTTTTTTTCTAGTATCGTAATATATATACTTGTGTAAATTATAATTAATTAACAGTTTTCTGGTTGAAAAAATACTAAAAACATAATTAAAGTTGTTAGATTTATTTTTATTTTTTATTAGGTACCTTTGGTTCCCATTGTACCGTGTTTGAGCATTATACTAAATGTTTACCTGATGATGGAACTGGAGTACAAGACWTGGATAAGTTTCACCGTGTGGCTCATCTGTGGTATGTTTTTCTTCATCTAATTAAACTTATATATTAAGCCTAATATGTTCAATTATGTAAATACTTTTTTGGGTGAAAATCATAAAAGTGAGCAAAACATGATGTTGTGGCTAGTTCTAGATACAGATAATATTTTTGCCCAACATCACTTTTAGTTTATAGATTAATTTTGTGCTGTGGGCCTCACCGAAGATTTACTTATAAAATGTGACAGCCATATTTAATATTATCCTCATGAACTCCTAGTATGATAATTTATTTACTTTTGCCAAAATTATTTATAACTAAATTCACTTTATTAAAACATCTGTCACCTATTAGAGTAGTGAAATGATTGAATTTTCAAAGTTTATGGTAGTTTTAGATAAAAAAAAGCGAGTAAGTGGATGTCGCTCTGCTGTACATTAGGAGGTGGGGTGGACCTCTGACTAGGGTAGGTTAAATTTGAATGCAATGATAGGTATCATTGTATACGAAAAACGATTCTGAAC